TGGATAAACTACCGTAGTATGACATGATTTTTTGGCAATATAAGCCGCTTTTTTTTACGTTGTCCCTCTTCTTCTTCAGATTTTTGTGAGAAAGTTTTCTCTAGATTTTTGCCTATAAAACTTTTTGCTTTGTATTCTGTTAAAAGATTGGTTTTGTTTTGAAAACTTAGAAATTGCATATTAGATTGAGGAAAAAGTAATGTCGGTTTTTGTCACAAAACTTTTTATTGCCAAAAAACATAAACAAACGCACAACAATCAATGAGATATTCTCAATTATTATTGATGACTTGTTCCCATCTTTTTCGCAAGTCCCTGATCCCATCCTCAGAAAAATGGGGGAGTTTTCGAGCCAAAATAAGTGTCGACTGCTTTTTTTGATCTGTGCATGATTCTCGAACTTTTCTCCCATAAGAAAACTCTTCAACGACCGAAACAGAAAATAATCTGATGGGGTCAGGTCCGGACTATAAGGTACGTGGGGCGGAAGTTTCCAATCAAGCTCGTCGATTTCCCTGATTTAAAAACATACCATAAAGCGGCTCGAAATCGAAGTTTTTCGTCTTGCATTTTGTACCTTGGAAATATTGTTGTTTGTTCAATTGTTAAAGTCTGAAAATTGATAAATTTGTAAAAATTTGTGAAAACCAAATATAATATGAAAGTATAGAAGTGTCTAGGTGATATCAATTTGAAAAAAAAATCGCATAAGCAAAGAAATGGAAAATTGCCAACAACGGGAATTCAAAACCGACATTACTTTTTCCTCAACCTAATAGAAAGTATACTCGAGTCGCGACAAGCGTTTTACATGTTTTTATGTGTTTTTTAAAGGTTCAGAAGAAGTTTGTTCTTCTACAGCTTGCTCTTTTATCATTTTTTGATTTCTAAATAAATATTAGGATGTAAGAAGTTGAAAAAAGCTATGATTTGTCTTTACTAAAACATTGTTCTCGGGTATAGCAAAAACTTGTACTTAAGTAAAAGAGAAAAGTGTTCAAATGATATTTTATTGTTCATAATCTCTTCCCAAATTCGATTTTGTCTATTTAACGTGATCTCTCGATAGATTTTCTTTTTAATCGATCCCCTCAAATCCGATGAATTCCCTATCCAGATCCACACCGTCGCCAAGCACAAGAGATTCGAGAATTGGGTTAACAATTAAAATTACCCAGGTTTGACGTCGTTGCGAGATACTGCAACTCTACTTCTACATCTACCGATCTAAAGCGCCCCGAGAAGTATGCTGATGAGGAAGCTCGTACGCCATCCATACCATCCACTTCCGCCAATTGGAACAATGAAGCTGCCCCCACTCTTGATGTTGATCTCGCGAAAAAACTCGGAAACGATTACCACCTGGTGATTGATTTAAATTTAGAAGAAACCTTTCGGCGCATAGATGGGATTCAATTTGTTATCCAGGAACCCGATAAACCGGGCTTTCTTCTGATACCGAATCTTGTTTTTCGTGAAGCCAATCTAGTCTAGTAGGGAACTAAACAAGTAGACATCAAAGAAAAGAACTTTGTCAAAGTTTAGAAAGAAAAAAAAATGCCTTGAACAATTCGGGCCATAACTTTTTGTTGTCTAGGACTTTGAGGTTTCATACGCGGCATCGTCAATGTTAAGATGTTCAGACAGAAATCAACGTTTATAAATATTTATTTATATATTTAGATTTCTTAAAAACGTTTATAAATCACCAGCTTAAAAAGCAATTTCTCTACTCTAAAACGCAAAAAAATTGCCGTGAAAAAGCAAGAAAACGGAGGCCATCTTGGTGTCAATAAAAAGTGGCACATTCAAATAAATATTTTGTATTTCTATAATGTTTTTAAAGCCATTCTCAGGTTTTCTCGTCGAGATCATCGATTAAAATCAAATTTTTCGATTTGATGATCACCACGTTGAACCATAAGAGAAACTCATAGGAAATCAATGAATAATCGATGTGGAATGTGGTTTTTCGACCATTTTTGATAGTTTTAAGGGCCAATTAAACCGTTGAGGATTGTAGTCGCTTTTAGGAAACAACTTTCGTTTACTAATTTGTGCTCAAACATTGATTTCTCGTTGATCAAAATAACAAAAATTTTGAAAAATCTATCCATTTTTTTCCTTCTTTACCTCTCGTCAATCGACATGCCACCAGCAATTCCAATCGTTCACTCGTTTCCACATGATCAAAAATAAGCTCTCTCACTCGTTTGGGTAATTTTGAAAATCGCCATGAAATTAGATTTAACTTTTTCCAATTCAGTAGACTCTAATAGCGCATGCGCTTCTAATTTTTCCCTATCCTTTTTCGGACTCCCCAAAAAATCACATAACGGGGGACCATGCACAATTTTTTTTGAAACTTTTTCCAATTTAGTATGCAGACTTCCATTTGTTTAAATATGAAAAAAGTTTTGATCAGTGAGAACAAATGGAAATGAAAAGAAATGATAAGATTGGGTGAAGAGGAGAAGAGGATTAGATCGGCAATCCTGTCATTCAAAAAAGCCGATTCTAGCTTTACGAAAAACGTTTTATAACATTTTTGTAGTTTCACTGTTGGAAACAATATGCAAACAATTTTGTTGTTTACTCCAGAAAACACGTTATCGTTTCTTCAAGAATGTTCTTTCTAGGCGCCAGAATCAGCCCAAAACCGACTAGGGACCTTAGATTAGATTAAACTAACAGTAAAAGCCGGTTAGGTAAAAATTGGACTTTTTATCTTTTAAAAGGCATAATCTTACTATCAGAGCCGATTTTGTTCGACTTGAGCACTTAAAATAAGAGAAAAACTGCTCAAAGGATGACTCAGCACTTCCCCACAAGCAACTTTCAAAAAACTTTTTATTTTTGCTCTCAATGATCACTTCAGACAATCACAAGTTATTGGCAAAAAATGAGTTTTTCCACAACCCATCTATATGTACAAAGCGAAATAAAGAGGCTTTGTCTATTCATTTTTTATCAAAATGAATCATTTTCACTACAAAAAGCTATAATTTTGTGTTTTGATCTCCTTGATCATTTAAAAAAATCACATGCTTGTAGAAAATCTTAATGAACAAATTCCCAACAAATTAACTCGATTTCCCATGGTTTATGTTAAAAGTCGATCATAAAGATCAAGTTAAACAAAAAGTTACAAGAAAGTTTTAATGATTTTCTATCAAAAATCATTCTAATCCTGAATTATTGCAAGACCGCAATTGGCATCTCTTTGTTTCTATTCACAAAACACGTATTTTGTAAAGTTGACTGCAAAGTTGACTGTAAAGTTGACTGTAAAGTTGACTGTAAAGTTGACTGCAAAGTTGACTGCAAATTTGACTTGACAATGCCAAAAGTTTACAATAAAACCACGGATTTTCGGCCTTACTGCCTAGGTATTATCCGACAATAATACTGTATCTCAATTTCTGAATCTTCCAATCTCAAGATTCCCATAAACTTTTCCGATGACCAACCCGTATTGATTTCAATTCTCTCGATAAAACTTCCAAAGGCTCCATTTTGTAAAATATAATTTCGAAGACTTTTGTTGACTTTGTTTTCAGTGGGGGAAGGGGTGACAAATCGTTTTGCGTTTTGTGGTCGATAGGAGAGAGGCTGAATATTTTTTGCGCAACTTTTTTCAAAATAGGGAGTGTAAAGGCATTTAAAGACACTTTTAGAGAGCCAAAATCTGTTGATTGTTTTATTCTTTAGAAGCTTTGTTAGGTCTGAACATCGAAATGGGATCTAGGATCAAAGGAAAAGACCCCTCCCCTTAACAGCCAATTTTGTCCTGACTAGTAATTTTTTCCAAAATTTCTTTTTCAATCTTTTCTCTACTTAATTTGTATAATAGATTGGTATCTTTAAATTATTCGGTTGATGAATTGAAAACTGCGGGACTTTGAACTAAAATTTATTGAAGATAAAACCATGAATTCATTCGAAATAATTTCCATTATTATTGACGACTTCTGCCCATTTTACAGGCAATTTGCGGATTCCTCTTTCGTAGTTGGATTTTGGTTTGTGTGTGAGACAAGTGTGAGACTCAAAAATGGAGGACTGGAGATGTCAGCTGTCAGCCCAGTTTGAGCACTTTCTTCAAAAGAAACCCATTTTGGTGTCAATAGAAAAGTTGTAGAGAATCAAAAATTAGGCTTATAGGCAAATTTCCAAAAAGATACACTTAGTAGTTTCGCTTAAAATGCGAGTTTTGTGAAAATTCGTAAATTTGGCATTTCCTGAAAAACCAGTTTTTGAATCGTTCTGAAAATTTGGATATAAGCTTGATTTTTGATTCTCTACAACTTTTCCATTGACACTAAAATGGGTTTCTTTTGAAGAAGGTCCTCAAACTCTCACATATGACAATAGCCCGCGGTTTTCAATTCACCAACGCAATATTATGAGTATCAGTGAAAGTAAAATTGGTAAAAGTGCTTTTCGAAAAATTTGAGGATATTCTGAGTTTTCGGGATGATGGAGGGATTTTTGTTTTCATTTAAGATTTATTTTTTAGACTTCTAGAATTGCTATACCTAGTGAAGGGTAGTAGGTAGTGTTTTGGAAATAGTTTTATACTTTAGAACACTCCGGTGACGGTGAAGATTGCGGCGTTGAACAACGTGCGACTTCATTTGGGCAAGCTGATCTAAGACCGACGAGTGGAAAAAAACCCGATCTCAGAGATGTATCGATTCGTTCCTGCCAGTAAACAGTACCGATTTCTAGCTCTTAAAGACTAGTATATACTGTGTATAGATTTTTTAGCTTTTAGCTTCCATATTTAACTGTGTTATTAGCTTTAAATTAGCATTCTTTTCGTTGTGATCATTCACTTTAAGTTTTGCTTTTTTTTTTTGTCTTTGTCACGACGGGTTATTTTGAAAGAAGTGATGATATTAATTATGGAACAACATTCGATTGTAGAACTTTTATCATACCCAAAAATAGCACTATTTATTTAAAATTCGTACAGAATTTACCGGCAATGCAGCTTACTCGTTTTGGATTAAAGATACCATGGATTCTTTCAGTGCTGGATTTGGGATCGAACTGATATCTAGATTGAAACCTTGCATACTCTGACAGAGTTTGATTAGCAAGGCTTTGTAAGTTTCTTCGTTGATCAAAAATCGATTCTCATATTCTTTAAAGACGTCAGGAGTTTTAAAGATAGTACTAATTGTCGGAGGGGTGACTCCGTCATTTGAATAGTTGATTGCTAGCATGGCATCGTTCTTCAAAAGGAAGGTCCATTGGTACAGTATTTTCTTTAAGCCATTCTAAAACTTTCTGCGTTTTACAACACTATTGTCAATTTCTATAGGCAACTATGGGCAACTTAGAAGGGATCATTTCTTGTTGGAGAATATTTCAATGTCATACATAGTGGTTACTTCTATGTGCATTACCCTGTTAGATACCCCACCTCATATATCGCGGTGATTTGATTTATTGACGATACTTTTCCTTGCGTCTGAAAGTGATTCGGCAGCTCTTTTAGATAAAATCGCAGATCACAATTTTCCCGAAACTCAGGTCCGTGTTTTCGATAGTGATAAAGTGCTAAAAAACGGTCGGCGAATTTCACATCTAATTCAGTTTCGATTTGATCAATCGTAGTCAAATCCGAAAGGATTCCCTCGACGAGCTGGTTGATCACATAAGCATCCAAAAAATTTCGCACATGTCCACTGTCTTTGTCTTTCCCTGAAATTACCAAAAGTTATTATTTGTGTAATGCACTTATACGCTTTTCGGCAGCCACGATTTCGACCAGAGACAAGAACTCGCCGGCACCAATCGACATTTTTGTCTCGAGTTGGTTAGCCAACGTCTCGGCCGCTTCGATGAAATCTCGTTTATAATTAGCCGCTCCACCAATAGCGTAATTTATTCGAGCTCGATCGTGATTAGTTAGCTTAGATAAATATTTGTGTTTCTCCAATGTCCCTCCCAATGCGGTCAATAGCTTCGTGCTCTTGGCTTTAATTGTAACCGGGATCTTTGGCGTCGATGCGGTGAATTGAATTCTGAAAAAAGTCGCGTATAAAAGTAATTGTTTTGGCAAATTTATTCTGAAATCACTTCTGCTTATTTCTAATGAACAAACCTTTTGTTCGCGAGATCAATTTTCTGAGTATATCCATCCAGATCCTTCACGATCACGGATCGATCGATGTCGTTGAGGTCGACGGTGAGCGATAGTTGGGAAGTTTGTTGAAAGAATTCCTCTGGATTGTCCATGTAGTTTATCGCTTTGATAACCCTTTTACTGTAGTATCCACTCGAATCCTTATTTCTTGCTAGAAACTCTGTAAACACCTGCTTCGTTTGCTCGTCAGTCATCTTTTCTGCTATATGGTCGATATTTTTTCTATTAAAATCAGTGAATAACTTAATAGCTTTTCCCACCTCAATGTGAATATTGAGGAAAAAGAGCGTGTTTGCCGAGAATCGCATAAGTTCATGCGGAAGCAAGGTTTTTTTTTCGAACACGACGAGAATGTTGACCAAGAAGAAAAAGTGTTTTCGCAGCGATGACTCTTTTGAAATAATCAACACGGCCGCCAAAAGACGTTGCATTTTTGAGAATCCCATCTGTCGGCTGCCTTGACTCAAAGGAACTTCTTGAAGTGCTTTCAGATAGCTCTCTGCATCGGACAAAGTTTCGAGCAACTTGTTGATCTGATTGAGATTTCTGTTAGGCTCCTCCGTATTCGTTGCCGTCGTTTTGTCTGTAGTCGAGAAAAACGTGCTGAAGCACAAACCGGCCAACAACGGATCGTTCATGAAATCACCAGATAAGGGAAACGAGTCCATCCCAAAGTAACTGCCTCGAAAGTAGATCAGCTGCTCTTCGTGGTTTTTTGGCGTTTTTTGAAACTCAAGGATTGGAACCTTACTTGGGTCGAAGTTGAAACTTCCATCTTCACTGCACGTATAAAACCCAAATTTCGGATAGCAGCATATGAGATTTTCAGTGCTCTTCTTCCATTCAGTCCAACTTTTGTGAGTGTCGCCATTTGTGTCAATGAAGAGCCGATCCTCATTTGTTGTTTGATCTCCTCGTGTCGACGGAATCGAAAACACCGGAAACGTTCGTCGTTTCTTTTCTTTGTGTATATAGCAAACGAAGGTAACACTGAGCTTGAACGCGTCCTCGGGTTTGAGGCGTGTCTTTTCAAATTCTTCGTAAATCTTCTGATAGATCCTTTTTGCGTTTTCACGAGCTTCTTTTGAGTAGGATTTCTGAAGAGAATAAACCTTTCCTCCCCTATACTTTTGGGCTTTGCGTGGCGGCCCGTACATGGCGTACAAGATTTTGTTGATTTGGAACACTTTCGCAAAGCCCTTGAGGTCATGAAATTGGCTACCGTGAAAGGAGAGATAGTAGTGCTTTTGGATTTGTTCGACGAACACTTTCCATTCTGCGACTTCGTTAACCCAATCTCGATTCGCTGTTTTCTGGTCATTTTGGTCCCACATGTCGCCACTTACCGAATTCGGCGGCATTTCTTGACGGTTTTATCAAAGAGCGGTTACCTGAAAGTTTCATTATGGTTTCATTATGCATTCCCATTTTATTCTAATCATCCTTATTGTAAAAGTAACTTTATTATTACTGTTTACGGCACAAAAACCCGATGTTTTTTTGTTGTAGCAAAAATTAAAAGATCAGCAATCTTTAACGCAAACATTTGTCGATCATTAATGTTTTATTTGCAGGCATATATTTACAAAGAGAGTTTTGCATATAATCACATATTATGAGGCATACATAGCTGGGTTATGGCTTTAATCGATGACGGGAGAAACGACTAAAATTGGAGGAGACTCTAGCGATAGCAGCTATTCAGGCGCCTCTAACATTCTAAGATCTCTTCAAACCCAAGTTACCTAGTGGTTTTTGTTGTTATTAATAGTACAAAACCGGTTCATGGGTATACTTGAAAGAGATCACTTAATCGTATTACATAGAGTTTTCTAGACAGTTCTAGCGCTCAAAAGAAAAACGAAGAACACGATCGATCGAAACATGTCAAATACAACAATCAACTAACAACAAGTCAAGGAAGAATGTTGGTGTTTTGGGTGAATACGGTGATAGCACATGTCCTGTGTGGGGTCAAATTCGAGCTCGGAAACAATTGGATAGGGTTCGGGTGGGGAATCTTGGTTGTCGATGTCTTTTTTACTTTCCTCATCAGCCTCATCCTCCTCGTCTTCATCTTCAACGTAGAACCACCAAAAATGCGTATCCGGGATTCGAGTCAAATCGACCACTTCCGGCTTCACGTGCTCGGGCTGAACGCCGGTCATGTTCTCGATAAAGTCCAACACACGCTGAACCGGTTCCCAGGAAAACACCTGCTAAATTTTGAAAGAATCATTTAAGCTAACCTACCTAACACAATGGTCAAAGTTCACTTTTATTATTATAATGTTTCAACAAATTTTTCAATAAATCAATAGATCAGTAGTCTTGAGCAAGGTGTAGTGCGAGATAAGAGCGAAATTACTGTAGCTAGATAAGAGCCTCACCGGTCAACAACTCCAAGAGGGCCTTGTGACACGGATTTCTCTTGTATCTGTGCATTTAACAAAGCCCAACATTGGACTTGCAATTATCTATATGCTAAAAAGTCTAAATGCACAAAATATTAGTTTTTTTCAATCTAATTCACCTCGGTCTCCAACAGATCTTTCATCTCGTCACGCAGCTCGTCGATCATGTATCGGAGACCAGAAAGAGACATTTGAGCCTTTTGCCGTAGATCCACGTTGATACTGATGGAAAAACGCGAATAGGCTTGCTTGAACCATTGCAACGACTTTTTCAGAGCCTCACTGGCTTCCTCTCGTTTTTCCAGAGCAAAAATGGGTTTGTCGGCACGAAAGGCTCTCACTGTGACTCGTAGAGCGAGATCGCCAATCGAAATCGAAAAATCCTGCGCCTTCGAAAGTTGAACGAGCATCGAGAGAACCTCGTTTTTCGTCATAGTATTGATTCGGAAGAATAGATTCAAAGCGGTTTTGAGTTTTTGAATTGAGACGGTCTGTTTTGGAGATACGAGATAAGAACTTTTATAGGGAGGGTAAGCTTTTTTTATCGCGCTCGTCCCGACCAATTCTACGTTGGAAACCCACTTGAATGACTCACGGGAATATCATTAAACAGAAAAATACATGAAAAACATACATTTAAATTCCTGTTGTGAAATCTTAGACAATATATCGATCCCTCCCCTATGTGGCTCTTGGGGAAGAGTATGAGAACTGTTTTGAAGTTTCGAAATTTTCTATTTATAATGATATCACTCCATAATGGTTTTTCTAGCTTTTAACTTTTTTTGCTGCCGTCTTTTCAATTGAATAGTTTTGAAATCTTTGGCGTTTTCGAACAATGCTACAACCCGTGTCCTTCGATACGGACTCGTTTCAGTCTCAACAAAAAGACTTACTAGGTTGATGCATGAATGCACGGTTTTTTACAAACATTAAATTCAATCAGATTCCTTTAGGTAACAATTTATTCCAAAATATAAGCACCATCGTCATCTATTGGGTTGGGGAGAATGAGTCGGCGCCCAACTTTAAAGGGACTTTTTGCACACATAAAGCCTTCTTTAAACATACGTTTGGTTTCATCAAAAGGATCCACTATTTCTCTACAAAATCACTTTTGAGAGATTCCACAAAGCTTTTCTTTCGTGGAGTTTATGAACTTCCAAACGCAGCTGGTTAAAATGGCAAAGAGTCCGACTCATCATTTGAACAGTTTCTTTCACATGAACCTTCTTTGGTGTTTATATAAAAAAGATAGAGCACATTCAATTACTTAAGTTGCCAAAGTTGCAGGAAGATCCCACCAATGGTTTTTTCTAGATCACAGTTTGTAGTTTTTGTGAAAAAATGGCTTTTTCTTGAGCGGAGGCGCTGTTTGAATTTTCTTTTAAATGTGATTTTGTAGAGAATTAGTTAACCATTCTACTCATATCAAACGCATATTATTTGACGAAGTCGAATAGAAGTTTTAGACATTTTTTTCATTTTCGGCGCCGACTCATTCTCCCCAACCCAATATAACATCCCTCCAACGGTAGCCGAACTGCGGTAGCTGGACTGCGGTATGGATTACGGTAGCTGGATTACGGCTAAATGCTAATAGCTTACAGGAAGCTGTATGAAAGAATAAAATTTCGGTAGACAATAACGTTAAGCATCAAATCACAAATTTAAAAGATCTTTAGTTGTCACACTGAATAAACACAGCTTGTTTGCTGAAGTTTGCTAGGTTTACTTCATTCCATCGTTGTCAGTTTGAAATATTCAGTTAAAGCGGGTTAGGTTAAAATTGGACTTTTTATCTTGTAAAAGACATACCTTAATGGCTCTAATAGCGCATGCGCTTCTAATTTTTCCCTATCCTTTTTCGGACTCCCCAAAAAATCACATAACGGGGGACCATGCACAATTTTTTTGAAACTTTTTCCAATTTAGTATACAGACTTCCATTTTTTTAAATATGAAAAAAGTTTTGATCAATGAGAACAAATGGAAATGAAAAGAAATGATAAGATTGGGTGAAGAGGAGAAGAGGATTAGATCGGCAATCCCGTCGATTCATTGAAGAAAGCCGATTCTAGCTTTAGAAAAAAGAGCAAACGGTCCCTACATTGAAATGTTTTTCTAGCTCTAGCTCAGTAGTTCGCGGATTGGCTTCGACAATTTGTTTTAGATCATCATCAATGACTCTTGGGGGCCCTCCTTGTCAAGATCCTTGCCTCCTTCCGAGAATCGTTTGCACCAAACTTGAGCAATCCTAACAGAAGTAGCTTCATGACCAAATGCACGATTGATGTTTTCGACCCCAACCATTGCACTATATCCAAGCTCATCCAAAAAACCGTCCGAATTCGTCGTTTGTTCATTCTCCTTATGTCGAGCACCTAAAATTAAGCATTGTTTAGATAGGTAAAATTGAAATTGATAGATTTATGATCGAAATCCCTACATTGAAGTGTTTTGGCTCTGGCTAAGTAGTCCGCGGATTGGCTTCGACAATTTGTCTTAAATCAAAATGAATCATTTTTATCAAAATGAATCTTTTTCACTACAACAAGCTATAATTTTGTTTTTTGATCTTCTTGATCGTTTAAAACAATCACATACTTGTAGAATTCTCATCGTTCCATTTGCAAATGTTCTCGTTTATAGTTTGGAGTACACAAAATGCACAATCAATGTCTTCAACGTTTGGCGATCGCATTTGCCTGAATCACTTTTGCCTTCATTCAAATGACTCTCTATTTTCAGTTTTTTTTAATGTGTAAGCTTTCAAATTCACTAGTAAAACAATGATACAGTAATCGTAAATAATCTTTTTTCAGGTTGCCAGTGAAAATCGTTCCATTTGCAAATGTTCTCGTCTATAGTTTGGAGTACACAAAATGCACAATCTATGTCTTCATCGTGACAAAGAAATGAGAAAACTTTTATTTGAAAGCTTTCAAATGAATCATTTTCACTACAAAAAGCTAAAATTTTGTTTTTTGGTCTCCTTGATCGTTTAAAACAATCACATTCTTGTAGAAAATCCTTAATGAACAAATTCCCAACAAATTAAGCCATTTTCCCACGGTTTATCTCAAAGGTGGATTACAAAGATCAGTTTAAATAAAAAGTTACAACTAAAGCTTTGTGGTTTTCTATCAAAAATGCTTGTTCTCTTGGATTACTGCGAGATCGCAATTCGCATTTTTTTGATTCTATTCACGATTTTCACAGTGAAACGATTGCTTCACCAGGTGAAACACAGTTGAATTGAATTCTGAAATAAACTTGGGAACTTTTCCGAACACCTAAAGCCTGCTATCGCAGCATTCAGCTTATATCTTATTCTATCTGGGCTACTGTAATTGAACTGGGCTACAATAATTACAATAAATTTGATTCTGTAGGTATAGTGGGTTACAAAAACTGGACTGAGTTGCTGTGATTGAACTAGACTGAGTTAGGTTGTGATAACTGATCTAGGCTACAATAATTGAACTGGATTACGGAAACTAGTCTGTTTACGGTCACTGAACTGGACTACTGTAGGTATAGTGGGCTGCAACAACTGGACTGAGTTACTGTAATTGAACTAGACTACGGTAACTAGACTTGATTACGATATCTGATTAATGTCAATGCCTGATAGTTACTTTCAGGAACTAAACCCAATCGTCGTCGCAAATTTCATTCTGGTGATCTCTGATCTGACCTATCTAATCGCATCAACGATTCACGACAATGCGGCAAGGATCTGGGAAATGGAGACATTTGGTGAGATCTTTCAGATCAATTCACTTCTCCAACATAAGATCTAGGCTCTCTCGGTGTGTGGATCTATTTGTACATCTCAAGTTTTCGATATTGGTGGCAAATTTACACATTTTGTTTGATCTCAATCCTTCATCTGATTGCCATTTATGCTCCGGGACATTTTCGTTCCTTCGATCGAAAGAGAACTTTCCTATTGATGACCATTCCGACTGTGTTCACGATTGGTAAATAGTTGAGATGGGAAACTGGGGTTTAGCTAGGAATCGTAGCCAGGAGTGAACAAATCACATTTCCCAGATGAACTGTGGTTCGGCCGGGTTGTTCGAAAGGTATTCTTGGCCTAGGTTGACCTGACATTACTGCAGTTTTGGCTCAAAAAAAAGTCCGGCCTTGCTAAAGGTCAGGAAATCAGGCTTGGACCTGGTTCGGGATCTTCAAACTTCAAACTTGGCCTGATTCGGGGCCGATTCGGGACCAATCCGGGATCTCCAAACTGTTCATCTCTTTTCTATGAGACTCCTTGAATGATTTGATTGTTTAGTATATCAAAGTTCTTGCGTAGTTCATTCTTAAGAAAACCTAATTCAATTATTATCGCTTCTTTAGAAAAAAAAAGTTATACGCAGTTATTAAACGCAATTGAACACGTACATTCGAAATTCCGCATAAGAATTTGAGCTCTTCGAATTCTCACGCAAAAATTTCCTCATCTGACTCACTAGGTAGATCTAAAAATGATGGAAAATACTGTAAACTACATACTTTCTTTATTAGCTTTTAAAGTACAGTAATTTTGATTAAAAAATCTATCAGATCATTTGACACTTTTCGAAACTTTACTCCCACGGTTCCCACAAACTCACAGAATGTAGTTTCAATGCTCTTTAATCAACGATCATAGAAATAAACAATTCCAGTACACGACACTCTCTACAGTATTTTATGTGATTGTATATACTATCAAATACCCGGATACTACGTTACAATTCGCGTCGAGAAGCAAGCGATTGAGGATATTGTGGAAATAGTTGATGCCTGGTTGAAGGTAGAAAAGAAAAAAAGATCAACCATTTACACCGTACAAGACAAAAGTTGAACACGCCAGTCATTTCATCGGTTGGGGAAAACATTGGCCGGCGCCGGGATTCGAACCCGCAATCATTCGCTTACTCGGCGAACGCTATACCAATGAGCTATACCCACAGGTATCATCGTGGTGCCAAGCTCGAGCCTTATGGCTTGCTCAAGTGTAAACTTGAAAAACAATACTTTAACACATTAGCTAGAACTTACCTAAAAACTTGATTAAGATTTTTTTTCCAAAATTTAGCGTTTAAAATGTTAGCAAAGAAGTCAAGACTGTAAGAAAGCTTAAGCCGTTTTCTAAAACATCTCGAAAGCTACCGTATCTCGAAAGCTAGCTCTTTAAATCAATCCAAGTCTTTTTTATTTGTTTTTGTACTCTTTTTAAACAAATATGTTTATAATTAATGTAAATTGTTGAGTAAAAGAAGTGACGCTCAATTTAAACTACCGTATTCTCTCTAATAGTAGTGCACCATGAGCCTCGCCTAAATTCCTCGAAATCTCAAAAACTGATAATCAGAACCTATCGATTTGGGGTCGGAAAATGGAGCTGACGATGAGATCTAGTGGGCGATTTGAGTGTTGAGCTTCTGGAAAAACTTTGAAAGCCGTAAAATAGTCACCAACTCGGCTCGACTGGGTGCACTACTATTAGAGAAAATACGGAACTTTCAATTTGTGGATACGATTGTAAAGTGATTCAAAAACAAAGCTATTCAAATAGTTGAAGATCAATTTAAGGACATCAATGACAGGACAAAGCGCACAATTGGCTATGGTTGGCGCACAACTGTTCCAACGTAGCTTTGATGCTTACCGTATTTTCTCTAATAGTGGTGCACATTGAGCGTCGCCTAAATTCCTCGAAATCTCGAGAACCGCTTATCAGAACCTATCGATTTGGGGTCGGAAAATGTAGCTGACGATGAGATCTTGTGGGCGATTTGAGTGTTGAGCTTCTGGGAAGACTTTGAAAGCCGTAAAATAGTCACCAACTCGGCTCGACTGGGTGCACTACTATTAGAGAAAATACGGTATCTGGGATTATACCGAAAGCATTCAAATCTATATAATCTATACAATCTATATACCGTATTCTCTCTAATAATAGTGCCCCAGAGCGTCGCCTAAATTGCTCGAAATCTCGAGAACCGCTTATCAGAACCTATCGATTTGGGGACGGAAAATGGAGCTGACGATGAGATCTAGTGGGGGATTTGAGTGTTGAGCTTCTGGGAAAACTTTGAACAAAGTTGGAAAGCGTTTAGTATTTACCGATTGCTCAGTGCTAAATCAACGAAAACTTTATTTTGAACACTGTCACATAGCCGTTAACTGTTTTACTGATAATTTAGTGTAAGTCAAAAAGAAAAACTAAATTATTATAGTCATTTGATAGCCCTGAATCTCCTCTTGAAAACGAGTACAAAATTACTGAGAACTTTCTACAAAATACCTAAGCTTTACCTAAATTGCTCGAAATCTCGAGAACCACTTATCAGAACCTATCGATTTGGGGTCGGAAAATGGAGCTGACGATGAGATCTTGTGGGGGATTTGAGTGTTGAGCTCCTGCGGAACTTCGAAACCGTAAAATAGCCATCAACTCGGCTCGCTGGGGAGCACTACTATTAGAGAAAGTATTTTATGGAATAAGTTGATAAGATTTGGGATCATTGCGTGAAAGCTGCGTTTAAGTGCGGCAATTTTTTTGACTTGCATGATATTCCCAGTGACTTTTGAACTTCTAGGGAACAATGGGTTTCCTCCTGCTCGCTACCGATATTGCAATCATCATGAAACTTTATAAGATGAACATTTTGGGGAAACGAAAGAATTTCTCGCAACCAATGCAAAGTAAAGGTGGATTTTGATGAATTGCTGAAGAAAAAGGGGGAAATCTTTCAGCTCAAACAGTCGCCACCCAATCCGCGATTGTCATTGTTGAACAATCGACGAGAAAACAAGAAAAACAGGTACAATTTCTTGAAATGGGTTAAATCCTAAAGAAATTTAGACACCTATGAGATTGAAAATTGCAATTGATAAACGATTAGCGATTGCGTTTGCGTGGATTAGCTTTTCCTTTGTTCAAACCACTCTCTACTTTCACTATTTTTATCTGTGAGTTAAAATTGAAAAGTTTAAAGATGTTTAAAGATGTTTAAAGATATTTAAAGATGTTTAAAGATGAACTTTAAATAGGTTTAAAGATGTTTAAAGATATTTCAAGATGTTTAAAGATATTTAAAGATGAACTTTAAAGATATTAAAGCTGTTTAAAGATGTTTAGAGATGTTTAAAAATGTTTAAAGAAGTTTAAAAATGTCTAAAGATGAACTTTAAAGATATTAAAGATGTTTAAAGGTGTTAGAACTTTAAAGATTCATGATTCTAATATGCATATGCAAATTTCATACCTTTCCAGTGAATTTTTTAAAAAAGCAGTCCAAGCTGAAACTTATAAACTTGAAAATCGAATCTTTTAGTTTTAAAACAGAGGCGATTGTCCAAATTAGAGTTAGTCCAAATCTTTTTTACCTAAAATCGGGAATGTTTCAAAGCCAATCTTTCTCGGTCAAATGAGGAACCATTTCTGAGAAAAGCTTACTGGTAGAACTGGGCCATTGACCCGCAAAAATTCGTATATCTATTGTAGTTAGCTCTGTCCAGCCTGACTTATAGGCCCTAGGAAACGATCAGATTTCTCAAGCGCGAATTCGAACCAAAGCAAAGCAAAGCAAGTCGAACACGGGCAACACGATAGAGTTTTTAGTTTTTGCCTAAACCCTCTAGATTTTTGTAAAAACAAATTTGAAATTCGACTCTCTAGTGCACTGAGCGACTTTACTGCTCAACTGCTACAACTTTACTGCTTAAAACATTAAAATAAAGATGCAAACGATGATCTAAGAGGATCGAACTCGGGAGCTAAGAATGGGAGACAACAGCACTGCCTTTGCATCAACGAGTCACTTTTTTCTTGAGCGGCGGTAGCCCTTGCAAATAAGTCTACAAAACTACAAAAAACAAAAACCCCATCGTGTTGCCCGTGTCCGATTTGCATAAGTCATTTGGCTTTATTTCAAATTCGCGCTTGTGAAATCTGAACATTCCCTAGTTAGAAACCTACCAAAAAATGAACTTTCCTATTCGAATCATTTCTGTTGTCAGTCTAAACGAAAGCCATTCATTTCCAGCCTACCGACCGACATCATTCCCTACACAAATGTTTTCGTCTACTGTTTGGAATTCACAAAATGCACAATCTACGTCTTTATCGTCACAAAGAAATAGGAAAATTTATGCTTAAATTTTATTGTAACTGTGAATACCGTATTCTCTCTAATAGTAGTGCACCCTGAGCGTCGCCTAAATTCCTCGAAATCTCGAAAACCGCTTATCAGAACCTATCGATGTGGGGTCGGAAAATGTAGCTGATGATGAGATCTTGTGGGGGATTTGAGGGTTGGGCTTCTGTGAAAGCTTGGGAACTGTAAAATAATCATCCGGCTTGGCCGGGGGGAGGGGGAAAGGGCACTACATTTAGAGAAAATACAGCATACCGTATCCTCTCCAATAGTAGTGCACCCTGAACAACCTAAACGGCTCGAAATCTCGAGAACCGCTTATCAGAACCTATCGATGTGGGGTCGGAAAATGTAGCTGATGATGAGATCTAGTGGGGGATTAGAGTGTTGAGCTTCTGTGAAAACTTTGAAAGCCGTAAAATAGTCATCAACTCGGGTGCACTACTATTAGAGAAAATACGGTAGTACATTTTTCTCCATAATCTCAAGGATCAAGTAATAAATATTTGTTTTTGAAAAACACAAAGTTCCAAAATTTGTTGGCAACAATAATCAACAAAGAAACTTGTGATTTTACCATGAGAATTTGTCTTTTTTTCTCACAGGTAATTTAGGGTTAAGGGTTTTAAAATTGTCTGTAAATTCAAAAAGTTTCTCATTTTTTTTTTCTCAACTTTTTTAACATGTTGGAATTGTTGGATTACGGGGAATTGGCATTTCGGATTCCGCTATTCTTATTGATTATCTATACTTTAAAAAAATTGATGACATTCAAGGTAGAAAATCTTTGAAGTTTAAGTCTTTGATTGTACTTTTTAACTAAAAAATATCCAATTTTTTGTTTAATTTCCGCTAGTTACAAAAGATCGTACTTTGTGCTGATAGAAACGCGCCTTCTTGGCACAACTCGAACAACAAATCGTTGACATTTTAGTGATAGTTTTCTTGATACAATTAGTGCAATAGAAAATTTGCGTTTATCATTTAGAAAAGTTGTAGAGAATCAAAAATTTCCCGCAAGAACTTCTCGGTGATCGACCACATGCAAGCCGTCACCCAACTGATCGAAAGAACACGAGAATTCCGAATGTCACTCATCCTGGTGTTCGTCGACTACAAGAAGGCATTCGACTCAGTGGAACACGGCGCAGTGACACAAGCTCTCCTCGACGCAGGGATTGACCTCGGATATATCCGCGCCATACAAGACTGCTACACGGAGGCTACCACCACCATCAAGATGCTCGAGAGGGAAGTCCACATCCCGATCAAGGTTCGCCAAGGAGACACCATCTCGCCAAAGCTCTTCACCACGGTTCTCCAGTATGCAACGAAAGACCTCGAGTGGGAAGACTACGGCATCCCGGTAGACGGCAGGAACATCACCAACCTACGCTTCGCAGATGACATCATGCTCTGCGCCAAGACACCAGAAGAAGCCCAACGGATGCTAGAAGACCTCGACCGAGTCAGCAAGAAGATCGTTGACATTGTAGTGCTAATTCTCTTAGTACAATTAGTGCAATAGAAAGTTTGCGTTTACCATTTCGAGCACAAACAAGCACAACTCAATTGTAAACATTTCATCGCTACTTGTCCTCTCAAAAAGGCGTTTTCTAAAAAGTGAAAAAGCTACCGTAATCCAGCAACAAGTTTTAACTCAGAATTTCACCAGAAAAATTCCTTAAAATAGTTTTTAAGCGTTTAGAGTAGCTTTTAAGCGCAACTCTTAGAAAACAACTTAAAATTTACTGATTACTGACTTCTACTGACTTTTACCGTAAATTCAGGAACTCAACCCGATTCTTGTCGCAAATTTTCTCCTTGTTTTCACCGATTTCTTCTACATTATCACATCAACAATCCACGATAATACAGCGAAAATCTGGGAAATCGAAACTTTTGGTTTTGATTGAGAAAATGTTTTCTAAGCAAAAACAAAAAAAGTTTAGGTTCTATAGGTGTGTTCATTTTTTTGTACACGGCCAATATTCGATATTGGATGCAAATCTATCTTTTCTTTTTGATTTCCGTCATGCATTTGGTGGCTATTTACGCGCCTGGACACTATCGATCGTTGAATTTGAGATGGACATTTGGATTGATGGCTATTCCGATGGCGTTCACGATTCGTGAGCACATTTGCTTTTGTTTCCTTCAACAAATTAGAACAAAACTTACATACCGTAAATACTGTAATAGTACCGCACCCCCATAATGACGGTGCGGAGTGTTGCGTAGTCTAGCTTTGAACGAGTTTTTCTCGACACTGGTTTATGCTACAATGCGCGCTTAGGTATCAAAAAATAGCTGGAATTTAAGGCTATTTTTTGATACCAAAGACACATTTTTTGAAAGTACGGGCGCTTTGAAAAAATGGAAATACTAAAAAACTTTTGCGACTACGCGACTGTACGAGCGCGGTGGGGTACTATTACAGTATTTACGGTAGGTTAAATTACAGAAATTGTCGGTATCCTAGGTGGAATTATTCGGAAAGTTTCTTTGTTTTTAACTTCTACACCTTTCTACTTCACTTAATTCTCTCATTTCTCTAAACTAGACTGTTTTTGGTAACAAGTTGTCTCTTAAGGTGTGCAGAGTGCGCAAAAAATGACTTAAAGGTCAACTAGAAGTACCTACCGTAAATACTGTAATAGTACCCCACCGCCCCCTCGTACAGTCGCGTAGTCGCAAAAGTTTTTTAGTATTTCATTTTTTTCAAAGCGCCCGTACTTTCAAAAAATGCGTCTTTGGTATCAAATAATAGCCCTGAATTTCAGCTATTTTTTGATACCTACGCGCGCATTGTAGCATAAACCAGTGTCGAGAAAAACTCGTTCAAAGCTATACTACGCAACACTCCGCACCGTCATTATGGGGGTGGGGTACTATTACAGTATTTACGGTATCCTAGTAAAAAAGTAAAATCAGAGAAAGAAAGCTTTCCGGAGAGTGGATTGAACCCTCGACCTTTATTGTATTGCAGAAAGTTGCTCTAACCACTAAGCTATTTGGTAACTTGTTTTGAGAGAAGAAAGAGGGAAAACAAGGGAAAGAGTAAAGAAGAAAAAGTAAGAAAGAAAGAGTCAAATATCCTAAATAATCTCATTATTTGCCCCTTCCATTCGTACTTTACAAATTCGAACTCAATTTTCATTGTCCTCTAGTTTTATCGAGGGTTTTCAATGCGTCAAAAAGGATGCGTTTACATTTTTGAGCACAAAGTACAGTGCTAGATTTGTCTCTGAGTATTTTTGATTGAAAACAAAAGCACACACTTGCTAGCACACTTGTTATCAATAAAATAAGCTTTCTACGCTGTCAAAAAGATGCAGATTAGTCTTTTTTATCATAAAGTTTGCTCACATCATCATTTAAAGCTCAATTACAATCAATCATCAATCAATCAATCATCAATCAATCATCAATCAATCATCGATCAATCATCAATCAATCATCAACCAATTTTCAGTAACCGATACAATCTACTACACAGTTTGCGCCTGTTTGTACTATCAAATTCCTGGCTATTATATAATGGTTATCCCAGAAAGACAAGAGATTGAAGACAAATTTGAGATCTATGATGCTTGGTTGAAAGTAGGCAAAAGGAAATTGATGTTTTAATTGGAAAAATTTGAAAACTCAGATCACAATGCTTTTATTGTTGATTGGCACAGATGCGGCGATTATTTTCAAGCTTTACAAGATGAACATTTTGGGAACGAAGAGGAAAAGATTTCCGGAAGCGATAGGGAGAACTGGTGGGATTGAGAAAAACGATATGCCTAGATGGAGAAAACTCTGGCATTTTTCAACTTCTAGCTTTTCAATACTTTATCTACAGGATAAAGTATTTTAGTTGATCTCTACAGATTGAGAACTGTTTTCGGAGAGATTTTGAAGCTGATTCTAGTCTTTCATCAGTTATTACCAGTACAATCCTAGCCCTCATCTCTCAAACAAAAGAGAGATCAACTAAAATTCTATCTGTGCGTGAGAAAGTGAAATTAAAACCTCTTTATGCGTTTTTGTTTAGATTAACTATAAATTCTAACTTCAGATGCGCTAGAATACTAGAATTGGAAACTTTCGATGTGTTATAATAGGCGTGCAACAGAAAAATGGCATATCTCCGTCAATTTCACTTCGATCTTTTTAGATTTTCATATCAATTGACGCACAATTTCATTTTCTGTCGATTCAAATCAAAAACAAAAAGAATTGAGTGAAATTGGTCATGATATGGCATTTTTCCGGTTAAAAATAAGACAGTTAGGTTAACTAAAGCTGCTCCAGCTTCGTAATGTTAGCTTTTTCGTTAACAGAAAAGATTTAGAAATTTTTTTGGAAAGAAAAAACTCCAAAAGACAATTTTATTTTTTGGTCTATTCCTAGGTTCTCAGAATAAGAAAGAGATTTTCAAATCCAAAAAAAAAAACTCATGCCCATTTCCAGGCCAAACAATCGCCACTCCATCAGCAATTTTCATCATCGAGCAGTCAACCGTTAATCGATCAACGCCGAAACAGGTAAAGATTCAAATCCAGCATAGAGAAGCATAAATGAGCAGCATAAATGAGCAATCTATGATCTCTATTTTTAGCCAAGAAATTTTCTTTAATTCAGTAGCTTAGCTCTGGCCTGGCTTTTACAAAATTAGCAAAAGCAAAAGAAACAAAAGTTTCTAAACAAATTTTTCTGGATTTACTCAGAAATTGTCTAAAGACTAAAAGACTAAAGACTCAAAGTTTTGATACTTTAAAAGACTTCTAAATTAAGCATTAGAGGCTAATTGTGAACAGAGTCAAGCAGAGAATCCATTTTGCAAGGAAAAGCTCGCATTAAAAATGATCTACTATTAGGTTGAAAAGAAAGTTGAAAAGAAAGCTGAAAAGAAAGTTGAAAAGAAAGTTGAAAAGAAAGTTTCAAATTCATTACTATCAATTGAATCTTCAGCCAACTAATCGATCAAAGATTTCAATCGATAAGCGCTTAGCGATCGCTTTCACGTGGATCAGTTTCGCGTTTATTTTGATGACTCTCTACTTTCGATATTGGTATATGTAAGTTTTCTAATGTCTAGAATATCTAATTTATTTTGTTTTCTTTTTGTTTCTAATCTAAACCAATTTTTTTTGACAGTTTTCCCATCGAAATCCTTCAATACACGGGTTTTCTCGTCTACAACTTGGAAATAAGCAAATGCGTGATTTATGTACTGATTGTGACAAAGAAATGAATTTATCTGACATAAAAAGTTTCCTTATAAATACTCTGAATACCACTTTTCGGCATATCGTGCAGCTTGATGGATGTACGAGTGAAGTTTCGCTTCGCAAGAGACTCGAGCGGCTGGCTTTTCGGATTCTGAAAGTTGAAAGAATTTGTAGATTTATGCTTTATGAAACTTGAAAAATGATAATGAAATTCACTAGAAATTGACTTTATTTCTGCTTATAAGGACTTGCTTATGACTTTAAAACAAAAAAATACCGTAATTGATGCCTTACAAGCGGCCCTTTTAACTTGAGACCAAGTTCATCTTTTAGAGATCGAGATCGAGAATCTGTTTTTTTGTTTTTGCAAAACGTTTCACGAGAGATTTTGTTTAGAAAATCATCTTGAATTTTGAGTTTCTTATAAGGCCGTCATACGATTCGCTAATTCAAAAAATGTTAGAACCTTTCAAAGTATCACAATCAGTAGAGATCAGTAAATGCACCAGGCATACAAAAACTACAAAATTAGATGTTCTGCAAAAAGTTCGAGATTCCCATGGTCGACTCGATCGGATGGACTTGGTCTCAAGTCAAAAGGACAGCTTCGTCAAAAAGCCAATGCCTTTCCCTTGTCAAACCCCAATCAGAATCAATATCCAATACCTGGCAATGGAGAGATGATCTTTTCAACAAAGAATTCCATTCCGAGAAGACTGCCGAGTAGAACGACTTTCAAGGGAAACACGTGTTCGAAAGCCGTTTTCATCTGAAAATCACAACACTACATAAGATTATTGTAATATATTGAAATTCCATAGAGCTATAGACTATAGAGCAAATTCTCTATGAAACTTTTGCTAAAAGCTTGCAAATTTGCTAAACTTGCTAAGTTTAATGATGTCAAAGCCGGGAAATTGCCGACAAAATTTAAATCGAACTTTAAGTGAAAAGAAAAGATTACGGTATTTGCCAGATAAGCATCGCTTTAATGTTTATTTCTTCATTTTTCTAATAATCAAAAAAGATCAGTATCACGTACTTCCTCAAAATTTTCCCATGGTAATTTCAGAGCTCCTTTTGAATGCTCAATTAGTGTTTTGTAGTACAAATTCAACAAGCTTTCCAATCTGAAAATTGAATTTTCTTTTGAAATTGTGAGAATTTGTGAGGATTTGTGCTTTAAAAGATCGAAAATGAAGTAATATTATCAAAATACAATCTACAAAAAAACTCCAACAACTCTAAGAATCAACAACTCTAAGAATTAACAGCTCTAAGAATCAACAACTCTAATTTGAATTAGCGAATCGTATAAGAAACGTACGGCCTTATAAGAAACTCAAAATTCAAGATGATTTTCTAAACAAAATCTCTCGTGAAACGTTTTGCAAAAACAAAAAAACAGATTCTCGATCTCGATCTCTAAAAGATGAACTTGGTCTCAGGTTAAAAGGGCCGCTTGTAAGGCATCAATTACGGTATTTTTTTGTTTTAAAGGCATAAGCAAGTCCTTATAAGCAGAAATAAAGTCAACAACAATCCAACAACTTTACTCCTTTTGAAAATCATCGGGGGAAAGTGCGGTGAGAGTGATACGACACAGATCGATGAGGGGATTATTGAGGTGAGCTGTCTGAAAGTGAGAAATTATTATCCACCATTATAAAGCATTCAATCATATAAAGCACTTTTTCATCACTTTATAGACAAGAATTTGGAGAATTTCTCGTGAAATTCCATAGAAAATACATAGGCTTCTGCCTTGGACATTAAAAGTTCAGAAGTTCAAAAGTTCAAAAGCGAACAGGAAAATATGTTATAGCCAAGTAGTACTTTATTTGCCTATGAACGTTTCGAGAATGTTAAGAACAGTTTTCTTTTGTGAAAACAGTTTTCCTTTCTTTTCTTTTCGCTCTAAAAGATGAAGGGACAACCATGATTTTGCAACCAGAGAGAAATGGAAAGCCTAGGGATGGGGGGCAAAAATGGAAAAGACCCGGGTAAACGCTCGTTGGTTTCACTTTTGCCCCCAATTTTGCGTTTTGGGGGACGAAATGATACTATCAAATCGTTACCCACGTGGAGGGGCGGGGGCAGAACTGGAAAGGTACCGCAGACAACATTTTGACAAAGTCTACTCACTGGCCTTTCCTAATTTTTTTGTTATCATCGAGTAGGTGATCGGAGGGCCAAATGCAGGTGAGCTTGGCCATTTCTGGTGGTGGGGCTAATCTGGAATGATGGGGGCAGGACTGGAGTGGGGGCAAAAGCCGAAGATTCCGAAGATGAAGAATTAGGTGATGAAGGTGCTTTAAACATAAACGCTTCACGTATTTTGCTAAGTTGTATCTCAATGCAGAATGGATTCAATAAAACGGATTTTCAAGTCTTACTGCCTAGATATTATCCAAGAATGCTGTAAAACGAGAGGCTGAACAATTAACAACAAAGTGCGAATAAGCTAAAAGATTTCCTTTCCGCTTACCTGCCAATCAATAATTTTCAACATCTCATAATCATTCGTTTCCCCATTTCTCCTCCACAAAACATTTCCCAAATGACAATCCCAGTGACATAGTAACGAAATTTTACCTCAAATCTTCACAATTCTTTGAAAATAACCATTCCCAACAATATTTCCCAGCTTCTTCCCACATTTTCGTCACATCACCGAAAGTTTTTGCAAGATTCGACAATTTTCTAGCATCTTCTTTTAAAGTGGGATAACGATCAGCGACTGTAAGCAGATTTTTTGAACAACTCTAAAATTTTTCTCAAAATTTAACCTCTATTTTGCATACCTCTCTTCCAAAACCACCTCTCATGTAGTTTTTGGCTCCAAAAGCTGAGGCATCAAAGGCTTTTAGTTGATCAAGAAGGGCAGCGTTTGAGAGTACTAAACTTTCTAATCTTTAATGTTTTAATTGAGCTTTAAAAGCTGTAAGTCAGGTCCAGGTTCAACCTTTGTCAAATCTGGATATATTTTTGACTCAGCAACAGACCATGTAAGACCAGCATCATACTTGCTAGGTATTATAGTTAGCTAGGCTTCTGAACTGACTATATTAGAAACCTTTTTGTTGTTAGATTGTTAGAAAAACTTTTTGTTGTTTGTTAGAAAGCTTTGTTAGAGATCTAGTTATTTTGCGGAACAGGCCTGCAGCAAAACTACCTGTAAAACCAGGATCAGGGCTTGACCAGAAGCCAAGTTCAAGACTTGACCAGAAGCCAAGTACAATGCTTGACCAGAAGCCAAGTACAATGCTTGACCAGAAGCCAAGTGCAAGGCTTGACCAGAAGCCAAGTACAATGCTTGACCAGAAGCCAAGTACAATGCTTGACCAGGAGCCAAGCCCTGGAACCTGGAGCCTGCAGGCCTGGCCCACAAAGTCCCTAAAGTCGCACAAAGGGAACAGAAATCTGACCCTAATCTTTGCTGATTTATTTATCTTCTTGATGTCAAAGTCTAACAAATAAATATTGAGGCATTCAGACTGAGTCTAAACTCTACAGGGTTGCCCATATAACTCTAAGTGTAGTAGCTTATTCCTAACTATCTCGATCAAAGCTGAAATTTTGCACTGAGCATAAAAGCATTTCAAAAATCAAATTTGGACTTCTAACAAGACTCACAAAGCCAAAAAAGCTCAAGAGCCTGAGCCAGCAAACTAAAGTTTCCAGATTTTATCTCTTTTTCTGAATCGCGCATCTCGCTGGATAACAAGCTGATGGATTTTTCCGTCCTTGAGACAAAAGTCTGCACAAAACCGGATAAAAATGTTAAAAGTATGAAGAAAAGTCTTCTAAAAGTCTGGGATGAACTCAATGATGTTTACTTTCCTTTCCTTAAAGCTTGATAGCATTCTCGGCTAAAAAATGGTGATCCCTTTGAATTTAATTATTAATTTTTTTTTTGTTCATTAATATCAAATAAAGATTTTAAACAAAAGTTTCCTTTTTAAAGTTTCATTTTGTTTACCTAAAAATCTTTTTTATCTGTACCTATGGTCGCGTCCGTTTCCTTCCTATTTGCGTTGCTATTTTGCAATTATTCGCGTCGCATTTTTCGTCCTTTTTCTCCCTTCCCGAAATGATTTTTTTTGGTCTGTGGGGGTTTTTGCCTTCTTTTTGTTTTTGCCTTCTTGGGGGACTTTGTTGTTTCATTTTTGATGCGCATGCTGTTTTTGTAATGGGTATTGTTGCATTTCGGTTCTGTACTAATAAACAGTAACGTTATAAATTCACTTTACTTTATGCTACCCTTCAGGTTTTAAAATCCTGTTTACATGACTGGTTTTACATGATTGTAGAGAGGTTTTACTAACATTTGTGTCACCATCGACGTAGTATCAATCCGATCTGTACTCTTCTCAAGAGTATTAATCTATTGTTGGATACTACGTGTTCTTGTTACGTTGTAAGCGCTTTTGGGGGAAACCTTTTTAACCTTTTGTGCTATTCGGCCATTCTTAAGCAGAATCATCCTCGCTGATAAGGTTAAAGCGGGTCGCACCCCAAACTTTATTATTAGCCACTCAGTACAATGTTTGGGTACATTTTAAAAACTCAATGTACAATGTACAACAGGTGATTCTTTGAGTACGCAATCACACTTCTACTCGGAACAAATGATTGATGAATAATTCAACAATTATTTGTATCAATATTCTGAAAGAAACAAACGATCAACAATTTCTGAAAGATCTCAATGAAATTTCGTCATTCAAACATTGTCATTCAAACATCTAATCATCAATAAAATTCACTTACAGTAGCCATTGATTCTCGCCAAAGCTTTGACCACTTCTGCAACTCCATTCACCGAGATATTTGTATGATATTGGACAAATGAGATCTCTTCGATGAATTCACAAAGAAAATAGCCTAAGGAAAGGATTGAATCACATTTTAATCATTTTTAAAATCCCCATTTCCCCACCAGCATTAATGTCTTTATTCTCGTAGTCAGCACCACCAAAATATTTTGGTATTTTTGCTGTTTCTTCAAAACCCCAAAGATTCGCGTTTTTGTAGATAAAATGTTCTGTGTTATGAATCTGCAAAATGTTTCTGAAAACTTGACATTTAATCAATCATACAATAGCCGCTTTTTGAGCACATTCCTCGTCCGACACTGTACACTTTCCACTGATTGCTGTCGAGACGTTGATGATCGATTGTTTTGTGGTCACCCAAAAATTGAGTTGTTCTTATGGGGAAAAAATTCGAGATCAAGTTGAAAAGTTGAACACTTTTTTATGGAGATACGTTAATTAAATGCATTAAATTGTGTAAACTTTATCAAAGGAAGTTTTTGTTTTTCCAACTAAAACAAAGAAAGAAAGAAATAAACAGACAGACAGACAGACAAACAAACAGACATACAGACAGACAGACAGACAGACAGACAGACAGACAGACAGATAGACAGACAGACAGACAGATAGACATACAGACAAACAAACAAAGAAACAGACAGACAGACAAACGAACAAACAAACAAACTCAAACAAACAAACAACAAACAAACAACAAACAGACAGACAAACAAACAAACAAACAAGGCTTTATACATAGAATAGAAGAGCTTCTTCTATAGAACAGAACAATATTTGCCTAGGACAGCTTTTTTAGATAGTAATTAACTCCAAAACTCGTTGGACATTAGCAAATTTACATGAAAGTATTAGGCTTTTCGGCTGGAGTGCAGTTTACCCCCGCCTCCATGAAAAATTTCCGAAAACCACTTTTCTAGGGGTTTTCGACCATACTGAATCCGAATAACATAGTCCCAATCACCGGAAACAAAAAAAAATTTTGCCTTGGGGACTAAGGCAAAAAGTTAAACTCTTTCTTTTCTTTTTTTGTTGATTTTATACCGATTTTACTAATATCTAATGAATTTTTCTTTTAGGATGACGGTTCTTTGATAATTTATCAATTACGGCGGCGCCCATGCTAGCCCGTGATGCGTGGCATATCGTTCATCCTCACAAAACGAAACTACAATAAAGCACGACAAGTCTCGGGCTTTTCATTTCCCTATTTGCCATTTCTTTCCCATTTACCCACCTTCAATAGCAATCGATCAGGAAGATCAAAATCGTTTTTTTCCAAGTCCAGGAAGAGGGTAAAGAGCGAGGAAACAAGACCCTGTAAAGTCTTTTTTTTTCAAGTTCAACTTTCTCTCCCTAACCGCCCCTTCACCAGTTTTCTCGGCTCGTCTCTTTGAGCCAAGTTTAATTGATTTTCCGAAATTTCTCCTTAAAATCATTTCGATGATCGTCCATTTGATCGGAGTATCGAAAATGAAATCATTTTCCTAAATTTTTTTGATTTATCTAATGCCGTTTAGGAAATTTAGCCGTTAACGAATGGTTCGTGATCGGCTAGCCGTTCAAGAATGATTCGTAATTGGCTAGCCGCCAAAGAATGATTCGTAAATGGCTAGCCGCTAAAGAATGATTCGTAATCGGCTAGCCGCTGAAGAATGATTCGTCATCCGCTAGCCGCTAAAGAATGATTCGTAATCGGCTAGCCGCTAAAGAATGATTCGTAATTGGCTAGCCGTTAACGAATGATTCGTAATTGGCTAGCCGTTAACGAATGTTTCGTAATCGGCTAGCCGCTAAAGAATGATTCGTAATTGGCTAGCCGTTAACAAATCATTCGTTAACGACTAGCCGATAACGAGTGAAATTTTTTCGCTAGCCGTGTACAATTTGTAATCGGCTTCTGCGAACATGGCCTGATCCAAATGAGTTTTTGATTTCGAACTATTTATGCAAGACGCAAATCAGCTTATCTAGCTCAAATCGCAAATCGTTAGCGGCTAGCCGTTAACGAATGATTCGTTAGCGGCTGAATTTCGTAAGCGGCTACGACACATAAACTTCAAACCTCATTAAACATTAGCAAATTTTTAGTAAAAATAATTGAAAATTAGAGATATTCAGTAAAATCAATGAAAACAGTGCAACAAAATGGTCGGCAAACTGTTTCCAATATGGGTAAAGTGGAGAAAGTCTTTTTTTTTTTTTTTTTTGATACATAATCTATCAAAAAAATGTTAGAAAAATGATCATATGAGAGAGAAAACGGAGAAAATATTGAAAAGTGAGACTTTTCGAAAGTTTCGTCAACAATTTATAGGTTATAAATTGTATAATAGATTAGTATCTTTTAATTAAATCCAGATTTTAAGTTTTAAGTTCTAGTAACAAATTAAAGAAGAAAAATCTCTTCTAACACTTTTTGGGCTCATTTGTGCACCCCATCGGGGACGCGTTTCAAAATTTTCTCGAGACACTATTGGAAGGTCTCTGGGTAAACCCTAACCTCAAACTTGGGTAATTAAACCGAGGCACGCGGTCTCTGTCGCGGTATCTGTGAGGTCCGCGTGCCAGATGCCACTTTTTCCTAGGAGAGACACGAAGAGTACACACAGTCGTGCCGTCTCGTATCTCTGCTGCTGGTAATTTCAGGCATCCGTCAACGGAAAAGCGCTTACGATCATAGCACGTTGAAAAACGGTATCCCGTCAGATCTGCCAAGTTAAGCAACGTTGGGCTCGGCTAGTCGCTGGTTCGAATCCAGCAGATGAGTCAGGGATATCTTCCCGAGTGCTGTAGGTAAACGTGAACCGAGTGCTGTAGGTAACCGCATCCATATGGAGAACTGGTTCCCAAGATCGGTCCCCCTAGAGCCCCCTCCCCTCGTGATTGGGATAACCAGGGATCCAAATGGGTAGACTTGTCTAAGGCACAAGCTCATATAAAGGAGGTAGCCTTCTCCTCCTACATCGTCTTCTAGATTGTCTCCTCGATTGTCTCCTAGATCGTCTCCTACATCGTCCCATCCTCACAAACAATAGAATATTCCCTAGGTCCTAATATGTAAATTGTGATTATGCGTGTGCAAAATAAAATCACCGGTAACCCCGGTATACATTATTATTATTATTATTAAATAGAGCTCTTCAATTGGAATAAATACGGTAAATCCCTTTTAAAAAAAGCTATTAGTACTTTTCTCATCAAAACTTGATCTTTTTGCACCCCAAATCACAATCCCCCCACTCTTAAATCGTACTTTGTTCAGCCATTTCTATTTTCTTGTTCACTTCTGATACCTGTTAATTTGATTTGTTCATTTATTCTCATATAGATTCTTTATCAAATTCCTCAAGCTTTTCTCAGTATTTCTCCTTTTCCATCTTTTGGTTGTCGTTAATTAAGTTCACCGAGAATGTTCACTCAAATATTCAATGATTTTTCTTTTTAGATTAGCATCTTTCATGTGACTTTTTCTTTTCTTAACCACCGTAATTTGGAAATCACTTTTTTTGGGAAATGTCACACCTGCCTTTCGCAAAAAAAAACCTTCGTAACAAACCTTTGGCAGCTGATTTTTTTCAGCAACTCTCGAAGAAACAAAGTTCTAGCTCGACGAAAAATCGCCCGAAATCTCAGCACCACATTTTCTTGAATGTTTATGATCTATCAATTTGCGTCGAATTCTTCCTCGGCAATTTTTATACCAGTTTTTGTGTCGATCGAACCATTACAGGTAAGTTTATTGTGGGGAGAATGAAACTGATTAGCAAAGAATGCATTTTGTTAAAACTTTCAACACAAAGGCTACTTATTTAAGTCGTTTTAATGCATATGAATGACTGAATGACTGAATGACTGAATGACTGAATGAATTGAATCTAATCCCTTTTTTTCTCTTATTTGACTCAAAAAATTTCTGAAAAACATGTGAAAGTTTAAAGAATTATCAATTTGAAATGTTAAAAGTTTCAAAGAATGAACCGAATACTTACATTTAAAAGCATAATATAGCAAGTGTTGCAAATTTTTCCAAACGCTGACACAGGTTTTTTGTAGAGATAAGGAACCAAATTTTGAGAGAAGGAAGAAATTTAGAGAGATAAAGAACCAAATTTAGAGAGATAAGTAACCAAATTTAGAGAGAAGGAAGAGATTTAGAGAGATAAGGAACCAAATTTAGAGAGATAAGTAACCAAATTTAGAGAGATAAGTAACCAAATTTAGAGAGATAAGTAACCAAATTTAGAGCGATAAGGAACCAAATTTAGAGAGATAAGGAACCAAATTTAGAGAGAAGGAACAAAATTTGTAGAGAAGGAAGAAATTTAGAGAGATAAAGAACCAAATTTAGAGAGATAAGTAGCCAAATTTAGCGAGATCTAAAGCGTGTCCCGTCTACCGTAATATCATTCTGGAAATGAGTCTTTAAACTGTCTTTATATTTAATCTTCATAGATTTACATTAACTTACTATTAAGTTCGTTGATATAGTTCTTACAATTACAGTTGGATTTACAGTAATATCTATTACAGATCACAGTAACCAATGAACGCTTTAGAACGGCTTCGAACGCTTCGAAAAGTTGTACTAAGAATAATTAAAAATCACCAAATACTGCAATGATAAATCTTTCAAAGTAAAAAGTACAAAAAATCTAAAATTCTTGAACTTACAGGATTCGGATACTCTTCTCTTTCTCCTCTATGCAATCACAAGCGTTGAAGTGTTTTGCTCAGTGCTTTCCTATATATTTTTTGTGCCTTTCGTTGGAATTGTTCACAGTTCCGGTAAGTGTTATTCTTTAAACTCTTGAATAAGTAGAAGAACGATAGAACGATAGAATTCAGTTTAAAGAATTCAATTAATTCAAGTACAGACTTGCTTAAAATTCTTCAAAATTTCAGCCCATTTCCATCCGAATCTCACTCGTATCATCCTCTTCATGATCGTTCACTGCTTAGCTCATTCCATTGCTCGTTTCTTTTTAATGTTCTTCGAGTTCAACATTATAAAATTATATGGTGAGTGACTTTTTGTCAAATTACCGTATCTCAATTTAGTCTCTTTTCTAGCCGATGCTTTTTTGATTGTTGTTGGGAGTCTGAGATTGTACTGTTTTATGATGGCGTTGTTCACGATTCCGTTGATCACTGCGGAGAGGTGAATGGGATAAATAAATAGCTATAAACTAGTATTTAAGTATTTCTAGTTAAAGTTACATTATAAAAGATTGAAAATAAAAAAAAGCAATCTTGTGGTGCTTTTTGTTCTTAATTCTTGAATAAGTAGAAGAACGACTTATGGTTTTGAAACGCACAACTGGCTATGATTGGCGCAAAACTGTTCCAACGTAGCCTTGATGCTTACCGTATTTTCTTTAATAGTAGTGCACCCTGAGCGTCGCCTAAATTTCTCGAAATCTCGAGAATCGCTTATCAGAACCTATCGATGTTGGGTCGGAAAATGTAGCTGACGATGAGATCTTGTGCGGGATTTGAGTGTTGAGCTTCTGCAAAAGCTTGGGAACTGTAGAATAATCATTTGGCTCGGCCGGGGGGAGGGGGAAAGGGCACTACAATTAGAGAAAATACAGAAGACCGTATTCTCTCTAATAGTAATCCTGGACAACCTAAATTCCTCGAAATCTCAAAAGCCGCTTATCAGAACCTATCGATGTGGGATCGGAAAATGTAGCTGACAATGAGATCTTGTGGGGGATTTGAGTGTTGAGCTTCTGCAAAAGCTTGGAAACCGTAAAATAGTTACCAACTCGGCTCGGCAGGGTGCACTACTATTAGAGAAAATACGGTAACCGGTTATTCATAGCTTATAAGGTCAGGGTTTATTGGGTAATTGGTGCTGATTGAGCTCTGACAAGGGAAGTCATAGGAAATCACCTTGAACCACCTTTCGAGTTCCTTATGGGGCCGTTACGCCCGAACAATAGCTTCGGTGGTCTAGTGGATAGACTCCTAGACTGCCGAACCCATCGTTCCCCTCCAGTTCTAGTCCAAACTCTTTTACTTTTTTGCTAGTTCCCTGCAATGAATAAACTAGCTTGACTGAGTGGCTTGACTGAGCTAATCGTGACTTGACTGATCTGATCTGATCTGGCCTGGTTCGACCCTGGCTCTAGTGAGTCAGAACGGGTCCAGGCCCGGCCTCAATTGTCATTTGTCTTTCTTTCAGAGCTTTCGCCTCTCATCACATCGATGATTATGAGAAAAACCCGCGCACAAAGATCTCAGCCACTTTGTGCAGTCTTGCCTCATCAATCGGCTTTGTGAATACAGTAATTGTGGCTATCGGTAAGTGAAGAGGAAAAATTGAAATTGAAAAGATTTTCAGCGTTTGCACTGTATCGTAATGTCACTGTCTTGACGGGCATTTTTGGTTATGCGATACTTTCTATTTCAACAGCCTTGGTGGGGTTTTTGGTGAATAAAAATCTTTCAAAAACAGATCTAAAGCTTTAAAAATATTGTGTAAATGGAAAAAGAATGAAATGAAGGAATACAGTCAATTCAATAAGTCTTCCTTTTGCTGTCAATTCAATAATTCCTTTTGCAGATGTGTTCCCATCTCCGAAGCGATAATAATATCTTGAAAAAGCGGCTTAAATCTGATTCCGTTCATCTCGAGTATTCATTAACGAGAAGATTTCAAGTCTCGGAAAGTGATAAAGCTTTGAAAGTACAGAAAGGTAGATTTTGTCGATTTTTTAAAAGTTTTATTTAGTTGCTAAAAAAGATGATTAATTCGACAGCAATTGGAAATGTTTTCACAGGTTTTTTCGCCTTTTTCGCTTTCATCGTCTTTGATCCTTTATCGAAAACTGCACAAATTGTGTTCGCTTTTCTTGAGCTATGGTTTGCGATGTACTTTACTTTACTTTACTTTACTCAACAATCTCTTTCTTCTCGAATCTGTCTTAACAATTCCCTGTAAATCTCTTTAATTAGAAGAGTGAACTTGTGCAATACTTGGTCACTTCAATGATGAACAAAATTTGAAGAATTTGTTGGTGAAATTGAGACAAAAAATCTTTCAAGAGACAACAAAATGCGAACTTAAATAGGCTTTAGTTACAGTATGCTTTTTCTGACTTTCAGTTTAGTTTGTCGGCTTTCTTATAGAAAACGGCTCTCTTATAGAAAACGGCTCTCTTATAGAAAACGGCTTTCTTATAGAAATATCTTGTAGACTTTCTTGTAGAAAGTACCGAAATCTTCGGTACCATTAATACTGTAAATTAGAATGGAATCTAAAGTCTTTCAAATTTCAAAGTCTTTCAAATCTAAAGTCTTAAACAAATGTTTTCAATTTTCAGCTACTCAGTCATCTTTATGGCTCTCATTGTTGCCGGTGTACCCGAATGGAAAGCATCATTGTTATCGTTTTGGGCTCGCCAATTTGGTCAACTCGATTGGGAATCGAAATTTCACAATTCAATCTCCGTCGACCACGCGAAAGATGGAGAAACATATTTTGATTATTATAAACAGAGTTGGTAAAGTAAATCGTTTTGAATTGTGCATCCTTTTATACGCGCCCCGCCCCTTTACCATTGGCAATCCAACTTTAAGCTCAAATATCTTGGTGTTGGGTTGTTCAATTCAAATCTTCTTGGGATCATTGGCTCTATCAACCAAGACTTTCTCTATCAATTAGTAAAAAAACAATTCAAATTGGACAACCCAACACCAATATATTTGAGCTTAAAGTTAGATTGCCAATGGCAGAGGGGGTGGGTTTGTGGGGCCTTTTATACGCGCCCCTCCCCCTTTACCATTGGCAATCCAACTTTAAACTCAAATATCTTGGTGTTAAGCTGTTCAATTCAAATAGTTTTTATACCAATCGAGAGAAAAAGACTTGGCGCATCCAATGATACCAAGAAAATTTAAATTCGACAACCCAATACCAAGAAATTTGAGCTTAAAGTTAGATTGTCAATGGGAAAAGGGGCGGGGCGCAAATCGAATGTCCGATAACGTTTTTGATTAACTAAAACCAAAAAAGAAATCACTTTTGAGACATTAAATCTTGAAAAATCACCATTTTTTCCAAGTCAAACCGGAAGGGTTAAAAGGGAATTAGAGGGAAACCGGAGAGTGTTCATTTCTCCAAAATTTACGACAAATGAGAACAAGAAAGATTTTTGGCAGTCCGTTGAGAAAAAGATGAGAAGCTTGATGGGGAAAACAAAAGAAAAAGAGACAACAGAAAAGGCAAAGGTTGATCCGAAGTGAACAAGAATGGTTGAAGAATCGTTTTTTTGAGTACTTTTCCCTATTCAAATCATTGCCTTTAAATTTCAAAAATGATTTCCATTTGTTTTTTCTGTATTTCGTCTGCAAATTTTACTTAGAAAAACCGAAAAAAATTCGATTTTTGGCACATTTTTCTAAAAAATTAGCATTTAATGGACCAGAAAGTCGCCTTTTACACATTTGAAATCATTGAAAGAGCAATATACCGTATTTCTTCGAATAGAAGACCGGGTAAAGAGTAACATCGCGTACTCCTGCGTAGCTCCTGCGTAGCTCCTGCGTAGCTCCTGCGTAGCTCCTGCGTAGCTCCTGCGTAGCTCCTGCGTAGCTCCTGCGTAGCTCCTGCGTAGCTCCTGCGTAGCTCCTGCGTAGCTCCTGCGTAGCTCCTGCGTAGCTCCTGGGTAGCAGCCCTTTTTAAAATTTCTTTTCTGCATAAAAGCTTTCAATCAAGTGCTATAGAGCTGGAAAATGACTCAAAAATACCACATTCACTAACAGATTTTTGAGCCAATTTCCAGCTCTATAGCACTTCATTGAAAGCTTTTATGCAGAAAAGAAATTTTAAAAAGGGCTGCTACGCAGGAGCTACGCAGGAGTACGCGATGATACTCTTTACCCGGTCTTCTATTCGAAGAAATACGGTAACTGTAACTTTACTTAATTACTTTTACTTTTGAGTACAATGCACACTGTAACGCAACCAGTTTTACCAAAAATAGAATAGCTTTAAGACAAAAAAAAAAGAGAAACAAAGATTAATCCAGGCATTCCCGAGCGACAAAAAAAAAGCGGAAATGTGACATTTCGAACGGGTTCTCGTCAAAAAATCGCCCAAGGATTTGATGATTCGGTGATTTGACTCTTTTCCTTGAAAAGAATCCACAAAAATCCACAAAAAATCGAATAGATTGTGCATTGTTGGTGATTTGATTTGATTCCCTTCAAGAGGCAAGAACATTTTATTTTCTCAAAATGAAAACGATCCTCGTACTTCTATTAATTGGACTGATTGAGGCTCAACTTGGCTTCAACAGTGTCTTTACTCCGGTCAGTTTTTTAAAGATGTTTATTAGTTAGAATTCCATGAGTTTTAAAGCCTTTCCGATTACCACTTACCGTAAATACTGTAATAGTCCCCCGCCTCCTTCGTACAGTCGCGTAGTCGCAAGTCGTACAGTCGCGTAGTCGTTATTTAGTATTTCATTTTTTTCAAAGCACCCGTACTTTCAAAAAATGCGTCTTTGGTATCAAAAAATAGCTGAAATTCAGCGCTATTTTTTGATATCTAAGCGAGCATTGTAGCATAAACCAGTGTCGAGAAAAACTCGTTCAAAGCTAGACTACGCAACACTCCGCACCATCATTATGGGTCTGGGGTACTATTCCAGTATTTACGGTATTTATGTATGTTTTGTTTTAATTTGTTGAAGGAAACAAAAACAAATCTGCCCACGAATCGTCAACGCCATCGGAATAGCCATCAATCCAAGCCATCTTCTCTGGCAACAAGATACCAAATAGCTTAGTGGTTAGAGCATCTTTCTGCAAAACAAAAAAGGTCCAGGGTTCAATCCACTCTCCGGAAAGCTTTCTCTCTCATTTTTGACTTTACTTTTTTACTAAGATACCGTAAATACTGTAATAGTACCCCACCGCCCTCGTACAGTCGAGTAGTAGCACTACTATTAGAGGTATTACGGTAGCTAATGTGTTAAAGCAATCCCCAAGTCATTGGTAAAGGCTGGTAAAGGCGATTTAAGACATCAAAACTTGTTTAGCAAAGGAATAAGTTATCCTGAAAGATTGATCTCGCAATGCATCCCATTGCTCGCAATGCATTCCATGAGTTTTAAAGTCTTTCCGTGTACCACTTACCGTAAATACTGTAATAGTACCCTACCGCCCTCGTACAGTCGCGTAGTCGCAAAAGTTTTTAGTATTTCATTTTTTTCAAAGCACCCGTACCTTCAAAAAACGCGTCTTTGGTATCAAAAAATAGCTGAAATTCAGAGCTATTTTTTGATATCTAAGCGCACACTGTAGCATAAACCAGTGTCGAGAAAAACTCGTTCAAAGCTAGACTACTCAACACTCCGCACCGTCACTATGGGGGTGGGGTACTATTACAGTATTTACGGTACTCTTTAATTTCTTATTTCTAAAAGTCTTTACGAGTTTTCTTTGGATGAATCAACGTCGATTTGACATTTGAAAAGTTCAGGCTAAAGTACCCAGCTGAAATCGCAAGCAAATATTCTAGAATTCTCCATGGCCAGCTATCGACAATGTGCCGAACATCGCGAAACTTGACAACAATTTCGTTGACACTGAGAAAAGTGAGGAAAGAGAGGAAAGGGGATTGATCGACAATGACGAAGATGAAGAAGCTGGTGGGGGAAATGGGAAACCATTTGAAATGCTAAATTTCCAGTTGATGGTTATGAAGAGGGAGTTGAAGAGGAGGAACCATATGACGAAAATGCGCCTAAACATCGCGGCGCATCGGTGCAGTTTTTCCACGCCGAGCCAGTGCATGGATCAGTGGCTTTATTGGCGAATGATACAAAAGTGAAAAAAGTGAGCGATTTTGAAGAGTTTTCCTTTTATTTGACTTATGAATAGTTGAAAATCGATAAGAAAAATCAATTTATGATTTTCAGAGCCAATTTTTTCTCTTTTAAAAAGTAACCATTTACAAACAAGAGTTCCCCTTTTATTTAATATTGTATAGAAAGCGATTATGGTTGAAAATTAGATGTACAGTAAAGATATTCAGTCAATACTGTCAAAATCTGTTCCATTTTCAGGTGTTGAGACTCGTTCGACGAGAAGGAAAGCAATTGGTAGCGTCAAATCTTTTTCCGTAGTAAATCAATTTCAATTTCAGACTCCAGCTAAATTACCTAAAAATCCAACCACAAATCCTCCAGTTGTTCGACCGGTATGTTCATTTGAATAAATTAGCAAAGGTTTCTGATTGTTCTTCCTTTTATATGCGCCCCGCCCCTTTGCCGTCGGCAATCTGACTTTAAGCTCAAATTTCTTGGTATCGGGCTGTCCAATTTGAATATTCTTGGTATCATTGGATGCGCCAAGTCTTTCTCTGTCGATTGGTACAAAAACTATTTACATTGGACAGCTTAACACCAAGAAATTTGAGCTTAAAGTTAGATTGCCAATGGCAGAGGGGGCAGGTTTGTGGGACCTTTTATACGCGCCCCGCCCCCTTTGCTTTACCTTGATTGGGAATCGAAATTTCACAATTCAATCTCAATCGATCAGATGGAGAAACATATTTTGATCAGATGGAGAAACACGTCCCGCCCCCTTTTCTCATCGGCAATCTAACTTTAAGCTCAAATACCTTGGTGTTGGGCTGTCCAATTTGAATATTCTTGGTAAGTCTTTTTCTCTCGATTGTTATAAAAACTATTTAAATTGAACAGCCCAACACCAAGAGATTTGAGCTTAAAGCTTAAAGTCAATGGCGAAGAGGGCGAGGATCGTATAAAAGGTCCGATAATGTTTCTCCCTGACGTTGTTAAACTAGTGAACCTATTAGAAACTGAAGTTTCTGAACCTTGGAGGTTATTGAACATCAACAAGTACACGAATGACTAACTTTCATTTTTTTTTCTTTCCAGAGCCTTCCTGTATCTCAACAACCACGGCCTCTCCAACCCCAATATTACCAGGTCAGTTGGCTAATAGTAAGTGCTGCTAAACAGCGAAACAATTCTTCTCTAGTGGACTCAATTCTTCACTTTTCAATAGTCATAAAGCTATTACTACAAGAAAAACGAGAATTAAGTGCCCTAGAAAGTGGGTGTTTCCATTTTAAGCGCAAGAAAAAGAGATTTGATCTTGGGTGAATTTCTCTTTTTCGTAACTCTTGTACAAGCTGAATTTTCAGCCAATTCAACAACCAGCTCAGCCCCAATATTACTATCAACCACAACAACCATATTATCAACCACAAGTAAGATCAGCGAAGATTTTTAACGGAGAAAAACTATTCTAGTACCAAGCCTATCAACCATATTATCAGCAAACACAAGCTCTGGCGAGTTTTTGAATATAATATTGCTAATATCGGACATTATATATATAATATTGAATATAATATATTAAATTTAATATATTAAATTTAATATATTAACTTAAATATATATTAAATTAAAATTTAACCTAAAGCTTTGCCATCTATCCGCCGATTTCCAGGCCTACTCTCCGTATGGTGTTCAACAAGCCGCTCAGCAAGCCGCTCAACCCACTTATTCCTCCAATCCGGGATATCAATATCCATATTATTACCAAGGGAAATGATTATTTAAATCGATTAATAAATAATAAAAACGTTTATGAATAAAGAAATAAAGGTACAGAGTCGAATCAATTTCTAATTCTGATGACCTAGGATTCGTTTGGAACTTTTCGGGCATTAGAAAAATAGTTTCAAACTCTTGCATTAATTGTGCAACTTGGTTGCTATTTTATAGAATAAGCACATAAATTGAATCGACATTGTCCCAATTTTTGCAGTCGGCTGATGGTCAGCTGATAAGTGAGAAAGCTGTGATCTTACATGGGGAAAGTACTTGGAAAAAACATGAAAAAAGGGGTAAAAAGCTAGTGATTGTATAGTAAAATCGTAAAAATTTGGGAAAAACTCGTGAAAAATTCAAAATTTGTACCGTTTCAACTTGAAATTTGATTTGAAATTGAGATTTTCACCAATCATTTGTAAAAATTCACCATTCAGCCCACCGGCTGTACTATTATTTGTTAAACAGTTCTTTCATTAGACCAAATTGAAATGCCCTCTTTCTTGCTATCTATCTGCTCCCTGTGCCAGCGGCGCGTGATTGTGCTCTACCCCAAAGTCCATTGCGCTCTCCCCTGATCTACTAGAGTGATTCTGCTCTACCCCAAAGTCCATTGCGCTCTCCCCTGCCACAAAAAGAACTCACTCACAAAAGGAAACCAACTATTCGAAATCTCACTCATCTGAAAACAACAATATGATTCTGGGAACCAATTTTCCGCACTAGGAGAACCCGTATTTTTCAAAATTTTCTCCACCATATAGCGAACGATTTCCCGTGTGGTTCCACGTCACCGTTTCACTGAAATCGAAGTGAAGAGTTCGCACATTCCTTAAATATTAATCACAATAAAAATCAAGCTTCACATTTTCAAGTTTATTTGTGCATCCCCCCAACGGGGACGCGTTCCAAAATTTTTTTGAGACACTGTTGGAAGGTCTCGGGGTTAATGCTAACCTCAAACTTGGGTAATTAAACCGAAGAGTGAGATCTCTGTCGCCCTATCTGGACGGACTGTGTGCCAGCTGCCGCTTTTGCTACGAGACACGCGAAAGGTACACACTGTCGTGTCGTCTCGGATCTCTCTCCGGGTTGATGTTCTCTCTTGTTCGCTGGAGGCCGCCTATTTCAGCTGCCTCTATTTCCCCCTCATTCCATACCACGTTGAAAACGCGGCATCCCGTCCGATCGGCCAAGTTAAGCAAGGTTGAGCTCGGTTGGTACTTGGATCGGAGACGGCTTGGGAATCCCGAGTGTCGTAAGCTGTTTGCATTCAAGAGGTCGGTTGCGGTCTAGAGACTTGTGAATCAATTTTTGCATAAATTAACAGGGTAAATCGATTGCTTTTTGAATTTACAACTTTAGTTTTTTATTTTCGCAATGCACGAGGGATTTCCGTTGGATTAGAGCGTCAAAATGGATTCAAAGTGACCGAATTACTGACTAGGAGATTTGTAGACTTTCCAAAGGGGAAATCCGTTCCAAAATTTCTCGAGACACTTTATTTGGGTCTCGGCATTAATACTAACCTCACCGGGCACAAGAATTGAATCGATCTGAAGCTCCTTGAGTTTCTTCCTCGTTGTCTCACTTTTGTGAGCCGAGAACGTATCCCACACCAGCAGCCGCTTTCCGAAAAGCGGAGCTCTGAGAGCCTTCTGAAGATAAACACAAATGGAGGCATCGTTGTTCTGAAGTTCTTTTTTGAATTCTTTTACTTTGACACTTCATCTGATATGAATAAGTAGTTGTTTTGTGCTTTAAAAAAAACAACTTTTGACTGTATAAATGCCTGCTGAGTCACCGATGTTTACCCAAATTCTCATTCGATCAAAAGTCCATCAACACCTCTATTTTTGCAATTCAATTCAAAAGAAGATCAACAAATATTTCGACAAAATTCACAGGATGTACCAACAAGTTTTCGTCAACTATTTTCATAATCGGAAAAGTGCTATAAATAGGAGTGAATGATCGATTTTGACAACAAAATGAAGGGAATCATCGTTATTTTACTCGTATTCGCTATCTGTTTTGCACAAGAACAGAAGAAAAGTTCGTTTTACTGGCAATTTCGATATTTTCTAAGAAGTTTACCTTTTTCTTACCGTAATCTTGTTGAATTTCGCATTGATTCCAATATGGTACCGATTTGGCTCCAATATGGTAAAGATTTGGTTCTAAAGTGGCATATATTTGGTCCCAATAGGGCATAGATTTGGTGGAACGTGGCATAGATTTGGCTCCAATATGGTAAAGATTTGCTCAAGGATCGATTGTCGATGATCGATACTCCAATAGGGTATCGATTTGGCTCCAATATGGTACCGATTTGACTCCAATGGGGCATAGATTTGGCTCCAATGTGTTATAGATTTGGTTGTGTACCGAGGCGCGATCATCGACCTACACAAGCGTGGCGTTCTGGCGATGGATTACTTGGGGGATTGGGGGACTAGTTTACTAGCCCATATTTTCATATTTTGGTTAACAAGGACAAGAGTTGGTTAACAAGAAGGCCTTCAAGGATTCTTGTTTAGCAATTGTTTAGCATCGGTGTTATTGAATTCACAAAACTGCAATCCTTTACTCGTAATACTTTCTTAGCCTTTTTTAAACTCAATTCCTGCCAAGGTTAAAAGTTGAACAAAATGAACTCATCAAAATCTCAGAGTTAGTCAGTTAAAAGCTAATTTTTTAAGCAAATTATAAAAAGCTTTAAAAATCAAAAGATGTTTGACATTTGCCCTGACGTTTGACAATCGTTGTGTTCATTTTTTCAGAATGTGGAAGAAATGAGCAATGGGTTGGCCCGTGTGCGTCGCGTTGTGAGGGAACTTGTGAACAACCTGTCCCAGAAGTATGTTCATCATAATAAAGTAAGGAATGGGAAAGAAAGATTTCCGAAGAGAGGATTGAACTCTTTGCCCTTTGCTTTCCGAGCAATTGCTCTAACCACTGAGATATCCAACATCTTCTTGCCAGAGAAGAAAGAGGAAATAAAAGGGGGGAGAGAAAGGGGAAGAGAAAGGGGAAGAGAAAGGAACAAAGTTTGTTAGAAACTTTTTAAGCAATAGAGATAATTCAGGACAAAATGAGGCTTTGAAGCCAAGCTTTGAAGACTTTCTTGAGCACTTGTTAAATCTAATTGTAGCAATTCCCTCGTTCAATTCAAGTTCAAATGCAAAAAGATCTTTTCAGGTGTGCACAGATGAGTGCTATCAGGGCTGTAAATGTAAACCAGGTTTCGTTCGTCACAACAGGAAGTGTATCAACCTCAAAAAATTGCCCGAAAGTCTGATTTGTTGACAAAAATTTTCGATTTCATACGCAATTTTAAAATAAATTTTATTTTTTTTGATTACTTTTGAAAAGTCATGAGAAAGGAGTAGTGGAAAACAAGTTTCAATCTTTTTTTCTATTCAAAATTTTGTAGATTAATCCCTGGTATGAATGTTGACACATACAGGGTGACCAAGAATTACCACAACAACGTCGTATTATGTTATGAGCCCCATTTCACTTTTTTGCTTACCTCTTTTATGTTTTTTGTGTATTTTTCTTATTTTATGGTATGATTACCTAACTTTCAATACATTAGTATGGTTGTTTTCAGGAATGGTGAAAGCGTCTCCACATAGACAATCGATCCTTGAGCTCAAGCCTTATTTCCCATCTTTCTACTTCTACACTACACTTATTTCTGTATCATTGAATAGAAAGGATTAAGAAGTCTTTTCTGAGCTTTTGAACACTTTTGTAGAGATGTTTTGTCTTTTGTCAACCTTATCAGCTATCCGTATTCTTTCAGGATCAGTCGCTTCACCAAAGTTCATAAAAACTCACGAGTAGTTGAGCAAAAAGCATTACTAATTGAATTGCAGTTTCGAGGTGACACAGAATCTTCAGCACTCTTCTTCCTAGATGTAATAAAAACAGGCTTTTAACTCTCGAGAACTTTACTATGAGGAAAGGAAAATTTTCTGTTTATAAGGATCAGTTTTTATGGGGAATTTGTGTCAAATATGACTTGTCTATTACTGAATACAATGAAAATGCAAAACGAAACTATTCAATTGAAGGTGCTTCATCAGAAAGAGAAGTAAACTTTTACATAATGAATTTCGATTTTTAATCAAAACGATGCGATTTAGCTTGAAAAAAGTGAAAATTTCTCGTAAAAATCGATCTGAAGAGCTAGATTTGTTCTTCTGAACTAATATTAGGTTGCTGCATAAGTCTTTTTCGTTCCTTTTTCGTCTGCCGTTTCAAGCCAACAATGCACCAATTAAACTACGGTTGATTTCATTAGAAAAGCAATTATTTTTCTGCAAAATAACATTAAAACGGGTTTAAAAATATTTGATGCCTGGATTTTCTTGAGTATGAAGTCGGGTAAGTCAAAAAGGGCTAACTCGATGATGCGGTTTAGACACCTTAGCTGAAGAAAA